AACTAGCTCTGCCTCTCTTGTTTGAGGAACATCCAAGAAGCTAGTGCGGCTGATATGGAGTGAGGCAGGGAGAGAAGCAGAAAACCAGGTCAGAGAGGTGGTAGAGAGGGCTTACCATTGTAAAACACAGCTCCCACTGGGGAATTGTGAGGAGAGGAGTGTCATGATCTGACTCACGTTTCTGAAGAACCACCCTCGTGGATGCTTTGAGAACGGACAACAGCAGAAGAGGGGCAAAGACAGAAGTAGAGAGACCGTAAGGAAGTTGTTGCAGTAATTCGGGTGAGATGATAGCACCTTGCACTACAGTGGTAGGACTGGAGAAAAAGAAGTGGTCAGATTCTGGATACATTTTGAAGGTAGAGCAAATAGGATTTCCTGACAGACTGAGCATGGGGTATGGAAGACAGGGAATAATGGAGACAACTCTGATATTTTTGCTGAACAACTGGAAGGCTGAAGCTGCCAACTGAGAATGGGAAGCCTGTTAGAGAGGTGATCTTGGGGAAAAGATCAGGAGTCAAGGTCAGGCATATTAAATATCCAAATAAAGATGTCAAAGATGCAGTTGCATATATGAGTTGGGAATTCAGGAGGGAGGTCTAGGCTAGAAATAAAAATTTAGAAATTGTTGGATACAAATGCTATTTCAAGCTGTGAGATTGGCTGAGATTACAGAGGGAGTGAGAATAGGCAGAGAAATCCAATAAGTGAGCTTTGGTGCATTCAAATGTTAGTTAAGAAGTTGAAAGAAGAGAAAGAATATCAAAGGAAACTGAGAAAGAATAACCAGTAAAGCACAAGAAAATCCAAGAAATATGTGGTGCCCTGGAATCCAAGCAAGGAAAGTATATTAAAGAAAAGAGAAAGATAAATTTGCCAATGGCTTGATTTTGTCACATAAGATAAGGACAAAGAATAGACCTTTAGATTTAGTGATGTAGAGGTTATCAATGACCCTTATAAGAGCAGTTTCGTTGGTGTGAAAAAGTCAAACTCCTGATTAGATCGTGTTTAAGGGAGAACAAGAGGACAGGAAATGGAGAAAGTAACAGTGATAACGCTATAAAGAAGAGTTAAGGTTAGCTGAGAAGAGGAAAGAAATGAGATGGTAGTTGGCAGGGGAAGTGGGGTAAGAGAGAATTTTTTTTTTTTAAGATGGAAGAAATAACACCCTGTATGTATACTGACAGGAATGATTCAGCAAGGACAGAAAAGTTGATGATGCAGAAGAAGGAGGGAATAACAGCTCCTTAAGAAGTCATTCTCAAGCGGATGGGATCGATAGTATAAAAGTACAAACAGAAGAACCAGCTACAAATAGAGGCATAGATAATTCATTTATAGAAAAAGGTGGGAATGCAGAGTGTTGGGTACACATGCTGGTAAGCGGGCAAATGTCATGGCGGGAGATTATGGCAGTTCCCTTCTGGACACTTCAATTTTATCAGTGAAATAAGAAGCACAATACTTCAGCAAATGTGAAGATAG